TTTGATTAGAATTTCTTTAGCTCTTTTTCTTTCCTTTTTCCCTTTTCTTTCTCTTTTCTTTCTTTCTCTCTTTTTGCTATTTTTCTCTCTTCAATTTGGCTTCTCTTTTGAATTCTGGATGGCTACGATTTTTAACCTAAAAATGGCAGCCATTTAACCCTCTCTTTCCCTTATATACCCACCTTTTATCCTCACATTTATTTATATCATAAGTGTTAAAATTTAATTAGGCCAAATGTAAAGTGGAGGAAGCTTGGAAGGCAAAGCTGGCATGTTTTGGAAGTCAAAGATGATGATTTGGCTTCTAAGCATTTAATTCAAGTGCTTAGGTGGCGAAAGAAAAGTTAGGATAAATAAAAAAAAACATTAGTAAGCTGGGTTAATGTAATTAGACAAATTTCTTTCATCAATAATTCAGAAATTCCATTTTTAAAATTCGGAATTTCTTTTCCCCCAAAATTCCAGCGAGTGTTTCCTCCTAACCCATCTATACTAAAATGTGCATACCTCTTTCTATATGTATCCAACATTTATGAAATTTTATATAGAGATATTAAACACATAGCCAAACACCTTTTATTCTTTACGGTTTTCTCAAAAATCATTCTAACAAGCATCAAATAAATCTCACAAGATTCGGGCGATTCTTCTCTCGAAATTCCAGCAGAATGCATTTCGAAACAACCCTCACTATAATTGGTATAACTCTTAATTTATAGGTCCAAATATTATAAACGTTTATACAGGCATATTAAACACATAGATGAACAACTTTCATTCTTTAAGGTTGACCCAAAAATTACTCTAAAGTTCTCAAATAATTCACACAAAACTCAAGCAGAATATAGTCCTTAAAACACCGATTTTGCATATTTGATTTCTTTAATAATTAAACCATTAATCTTAAGCACAATAACTTTAATTTAACATAAATCACATATTTCAAGCATTAATTTCTCATGATTAAATGAGAATTATACTTACTCTTAATATACATATATATAGAATTATTCTAATACACGTCGCATTACCGATAAAGGTTTTTACGGGGGTTACATTTGGTTTCATTTCCTATGTTTAATCCTTTTAGTTTGTAAACTTATACTACTTTTGGACAAAATTTAGTATCTTATAAATATATAGATTTGAATTTTATGAATGATTTTTATATTTTGAAATAATATAATGGTTTTCCACATGTGAAGGTTTAAAATGGTTTCCGGTTGTAAAACTTGAAACACTTTAAAATGGTTTATGTTTTATAGAACCCTAATAGGCGTGTGTGTGTGTGTGTGTGTGTGTGTGTACTACTTTTGTACAAACTTTAATATCTTAATAAATATATAGATTTGGATGTTTTATGAATGGTTTTTATATTTTGAAATAATACAATGTTTTTCCACGTGTGAAGGTTTAATTAAAATTGTTTCCAATTGTAAAAATTGAAACACTTTAAAATGGTTTATGTTTTATAGAACCCACGTAGGTGTTTGTGTGTATATGTGTATATATATATATATTAAAATTGGTTTTCATGGTGATAATAATTCAGTTTTAAGTGTGTTAAACTTTGAACTTTAAACCTAAGATTTTTCATTGTGCTATGTAATTCACACTTAAAGTAGAGGACATGAGGCTTAGTATATCACATTCATTGTACTATAGATGTAAGACATTGTCGGTAATACTTTTAGCCTCTTTAAGTCGAGGGTGTTACGGCGGCTCCCTTGATTCTTGCACTAATCATGGCTTATTTTGAGAGTCGTGATCTGTTAGGAAAGTTAAGAAAGATTGTATAAGAGAGCAAACACACTTGGCTCACTTAGAAAATCATAAAATTTGATCCGAGCATGCATTTGATGCAAATTACCAAGCCAAAAATCTGATTCGGACACCTGCAGTTTGGTGGTTAGTGGGAACCTATTAAAAGGTATTTTTGAGATTAAAATCCACTCCAAAGAGTCACTTTTAAGCTTTTATGTGATTCGAGCCTAATAAGCAAATTAGATACTACATTACATGTTGAACAAAGAGGCTTATGAGCAAGTCCGTAAGTAGTTAATATGTGTTGGGAGGCTTACAACAAACATATCACATGTTACATTTGTTTTCTAAGTGTTCAAAGACTTATGACAAGTTCACTATAAAAATTGATGACATGTTTTTTTTTCTAACTTTATTTTTCTCTATCTCCCCATACAAGATTGCATGAATACCTTTGCTTACAAGGTTGTTCATGCAAGAGGCCAAATGTATATGCTAGATTTTTTCTAAAATTAATTAAAGTAGCTAATTTTTATTATGTGCTAATATATATTATTTTGTTTCTTAGTTTTGACATGGGTCCAAATAGAGTCGTAAATGAATTGAATTTTGATCCAAATTCAATCCGAGTCTAATGTAGTTAAATAGATCTGATAAATAATTTTTTTTTAATCCGAGTTCGATTATGTTTGAATTTGTTAACTCATTTATTAATTGAATTAAATCTGAATCTACATTGATTTGATCCGATAATATTCGACCCAAAATTAAAAAATAATATTTTACAATAAATATAGTATTTTAAAAATTTTAATATGAAAAAAAAATATAAGAATGAAAATATTTTAAAATTTAGATTTATTTATTATAAAATTCAAATAAGGCATATCTTTCTACAATGACAAATTTATTTTCAAACAATCACATCTAAATTTCTTGTCATTTTCTTAACGTAATTTCATGATAAATTGATTTATATATTGTTTTAAGAGTTGGCTTTATTATATTTGTCATCTTCTAATTTTTTTTCTCTAAAAAAAATCACAAAAACAAAGACTAGAAGAAAAAACCAATTAATTAGAATCGGGAAAAAATTGAAGAGAATAAAAAAGGAGAGCGGATAAAAAAGAAAATCAAGACAATTTGGAGAAGGTTTGTTCAATTGGAGTTTTTTTCCTAAATAAATTCATAAAAAAGAGAATTTTTTTGGTTCGAACATACTCTAGTATTTTGGCACAACTTCCCGTATGAAGGTCCAATTCATGCAATTTTTTTGAAAAATTAAAGGTAAGAGATAAGGCTATAATTTATAATCTTTAAGCTTCGCCTAAATTGACTCCCATCCTAGAGAAAATTTAATATAGGAGGTAGAGTTATTGATTATTATCATGCATCCTAACATCTAGAAATTGTAGAGGTAATAACTACCGTAAGTGATTGGATTTCAAATTGAAATAGAAAAATCGATGATATTGCATTTAGTTAGCGCATTACATTTCTATTCTTTATGCATTAGCCAATTATTAAAAATATATGATAATATTAATATATTTTCTTTTCTTTCTTTCTTTGCATGCCTTGATTTGTAGCACTATAGTCTTGGAATTCAAATCAATAAATATTTATTTTGCTCCCATATAGATAAGAAATAAAGATTATTTATTATTATTTTTTTAATTGTATCTTACTTTCTACTTAGTTCAATATAAATTTTTATTAAGATAATTTTATTTTGTCCTTTCAAATTGTGTGGTATTTTGAATTTTTTTACAAAATTAATAGATGAAATATTATCTTAATATATTTTATTACACATATAGTGATTGAAATATATTTATATTCAAGCAATGTTTTAAATGTAGTAAGCATAAATTTTCTACAAAAACCAAGCGATAAATCTAATGGAGCTTTGAATCCATTAGGATCTGGATTTATATTTTCAAATTTCGATTCGAATTCATAAGATTCAATCTAATCTGTTTCATTAAATAAATATAATCTAGATCTTTTATGATTTGATTTGATCCGTTGATAGTAATCCATTGATAGCAATCCATTGATAGCCCTAATTAGGACTATCAATGGATTGGATCTTGATCTGAATTCATTGTAATTAAATATATCTCATAAATAATTTTTATTTACATAACATTATAAAACAATAAATAAAAAATAAAATAATTTTATTACGCGTGCGCCGCGTGCAAATAACCAGTAAGAAAGAAAATTTAGTGTCAGTAACAAAGTAGCTGAAAATTTGCAGGTCAATTGATGCCACTGGTGTCATATCACATGGGGTTCCCGTAAGGGCATGATTTAACATTATCATTGACGGAAGGACCAAATGATTACAAAATAAAGAGCAGAATTAATGGAAGAACGACAATAAGACAAATAAAAGTAAGAGGGCCAAATTGACATGATATTAAGAATGGAGGGACCAATACACCATTAAGCCTATTTTAATCAGACAAAAGGCCAATCTATAAAAGTCCAAGGGGCTCCGCCTAAGCAAGCACCAATCGCAGGATGCTTTGGTGAAAGACTTCTCAACACAGAGTCTTTTCTTCGTCAATGCTTCTAAAAACTACTAAAAACTTGCCACACGAATGGGACCCGCATAAGTGGGTCCATCTTGCTGATATGTCATCACATTAGTGAGTATACAAATAAAGAAAAAGGTGCCAAAACATAAAATCTTTAAGGTCTACAGCTTTTTTGATTCCCAGTGTCAGAAACAACTCTACTGTTTCCTCATTGCTTCAAGATCCATAGGTAATTCCATCCTTCTTTCATCTTATTTTGTTCCGTTTCTTTTCCTTTGTTGCATGCATCGTAGTTTGATCATCTTTTGGTTCACTACCAAAGCTGTCTTTATCTATTTCATTTGCATGTAATCAATCATCAATAATCAGTCTTGTGTATTGAGTGTCGATCATCTTCATTACATTTCTCTATTTATTTTCAATTTAGAGTTTAGACCGGATATATCTGTGTGCTTATCAAGTTTTTTTTTTTTTTTTTTCCTGCTAAAATCCCTGTTCTCCCATTTTCTAGCAAGTATCAAAGAAACAAAACTACAGTGAAATTTCCCCTATAATAATATTCTAGGAGAATAATTCATAGAGAAGGCGATCCCTGATCAAAACTTTTCTTGTTATTTTCTTGGAACCGAACAGTAGTTTTTAAGTATTTGTTACATCTGGGTGTGTTTTTGTTGCAGAAGGTCATTCAACATGTCTGGGTGTCTTGAATTCTTGAAGTGTGTACTTTGTTGTGTAGAAGAACATGAAGAAGATGTCCTCGAAGGGTTAGTTTCAAGCTCAAGAAGAAATTCATTAGATGTTGGATCAACATTCATTAGGTCTGTGGAAAGAATCTCTGATAGACTTCAGGGTTCCAATAATTACACATATGCACCTATATATTTCGATGATCCACCTAGATCTTCCTCTGCATTACCTCCACCTTCATCAAAATTTCTCTCACCTCCTTCAATTTCAACACCTACACGGCCTAAACCCCAAACATCATCTGCTAATCAATCTCAATTTTTACTTAATCCGGCAACAATTTCTTCTAGACGCTCTCCATTTCCACCAGCACCTTCAACAACTTCATCGAAATCATCCTCTCAAGCTACAACAATTTCCTTCACATCATCTCCATTACCACCTCCACCGTCAACTTCTTCATCAAAATCATCCCATCAAGCTCCTACTCCTGCTTCCCATACATCTCCATCTCCCAAACCACTCCCATCATTCCTTAAACCCGCAATTTCACCGTCTAAACCCTATCCATCTTCACGTAAAGCATCCTCATCTTCCCCAGGACCATCTTCATTATCCTCTAAGCAGCCTCCATCCTTCCGACCAACTCTGTCTCTGGCTTCCCCAAATTTAATTAATGCGCAGACAAAAGTCAGCTACATGCGGGTTCAGAAGGATATGTCACCTATTTATGCGATTCCTGATGATATTGAGGACTTGATCAGGAGAGGCAAGGTGCCTCAAGTTCTTAATGAATCGCTGTCTCCTTCAACGTACAAGGATTATTTTGCTGCTCTTCTGTATGCTGAGGACTTCTACATTGAGGTACTGACTAAATGTGCCCCTTCTGATTTACATAAGAACAACATTATCTGCACTTGGAAAGCTTGTTAATGAAACTTGTTTCCTCTGCATTAAAAATGTTGTTCATGATGATCATTGAGCGTGACATTACGTTTTAAGTAACTTGCAAACTGAAACTTATGGGAAGGCTTAGACCAAACTGTTTTCGTAGCTATAGTTACTAGAGCTTGGATATTTGTGATTGGAAAAGTTAAATTGAATGAGTCTACTTTCGGGCTAAAATAGGCAAAACAAAGAGTTTCCTAAGGTGCTGAATGAAGAGTTTCTGAGTTCTTTTTGTTGCATTTTATATATAAATCATAATGTTCTGGTTTCAGAAACTCTTGCTTGTGCACTAACATTCTGGATCAATGTATGCCTTGTTTGAATCAGAAATGGAGTAAATTTAAATTGGAGAATATTACTCTCAAGTTGCAAGATGCAGAAATCATTAAGAAGTCAACCGGGAAAGAATACTTCTGTGAAACTTTTGAGGATGATAAAACCTTTGTAGAATTTGATATTGACTCTTGTCGTGAGAGGCGGCCATTTCTTTTGTCCAGAGACTTTGCCTTTGCGCGACCTTCAGGTCAAAAAACCGAGCCATATAAGGTTAGCCTCCTCAACTTTCAAGCACCATATGTCGTGAAAGATGTCATTTTACTTTGATGATGAGGCAGATGGTGGAATTCAAGCAACCATATTGCAACTTGAGCTTCATTTACTGTAGTCATCTTACTGACATTGAATTGTTTTCTAATGTACACCAGGGTATTATCTACCGCGTGGTGAGGAGCACTCGTGTATTGGTTGAATTTGGTGAAGATTTTCTTTTGGAGCATCATTCAACCCGTAAATATGATGTCAACTTCTCATTTAACAGAGTTTGTTTGAAAAGGGCTCACCAAGCAATCGAAGCGGCTTCAGATCCTTCGTTTAGAAGTTTCCTATTCCCTGATTGTGTCCCCAGAGAGATTATCCCAACCTCTACACGTCTCCATTTTTGCAATCATAAACTCGATGTGTATCTTAGCTCTGCAGTTCGTGAGATTTTGAGCTTTCGAGGACCACCACCTTATCTTATTGAAGGTCCACTTTGTGCAGAAAAACATTCAAAACAACTATCAAGAACTGGATTGGTAGTCCAGGAAGCAGTACAACAAATTTACCGAAGCTCGTCAAAGCATCGAATTCTGATATGTGCACCTATTAACAGAACATGTGATGTGCTGATGCAAGGCTTAAAGAATGACATTCCAACGTCAGATATGTTTAGAGCAAATGCTGCTTTTCGAGAGATAGATGGGGTGCCTATTGACATCCTACCATCATGTGCGTACAAAGGGGAGTGTTTTACTTGTCCTTCTCTTCAGGAACTCCGGAAATTTAGAATAATCTTCTCTACTTATGTTAGTAGCTTTCGGGTGCATAAAGAAGGGATAGCTGCTGGTCATTTTAGTCATATTTTTTGGTGGATGCTTCATCAGCTACTGAGCCAGAAGCAATGGTGGCTCTGGCTAATTTGGCTGGTGAGAATACAGCAGTGATAGTTACTGGTGCACCAGGAAACCATTCAGGCTGGGTTCGCTCCGATATTGCAAGGGAGAAAGGACTAATGACATCCTATTTTGAAAGAATTCGTGACAGCAAGCCTGAGAGTAAGCCAGTTGATACTTATAGCTATGCATCATTCTCTGATGACTAAGCTGCTCTTCAATAACTGCAGCACCATGATACTTTTTAACTTATTGGATTCCTTGTAAGCTTTATCATTGCCTGGTCTTGTTTAGATGTGTGAAATGCATGGAGAGTTCTGCTGATCTTGTTTACAAGTGTGAAATGCATGGAGAGTTCTGTTGTAAGTTGACTCAAATTTGCTAATTGATATAATGTTGGGTTTTGGTTTCTTCGTTTCTACCTTTTTTTGGTGGGTTAAGGATCGGTGTTCACCTGCATGAAGTTAAAAGCTTTCGCAGGCTTTCAAGGTCAAAACATTCTGCTATGAAATTAACTTCAAATTAACGAATACATGAAAATTGTATTTATTATACGTTTAAGCACAGAAGGAGAGGCTTACTCATTTCTGCCAGTAAAAAAAAAAAGGTTTACTATTCTATTAATATCTTCAAAAAACAAAAGGTAAGGAGTGGCGCAGAAAAATTAGCAAAGAAAAGAAAAGAGCTTGTTCCGATTATCATAAAAATACAAGTCCTTAAGGCCAAGCCAGCTGGTCTACACAAAACCTAGGCTCCTGTATTTGATCTTCAATCTCTGACTCATACTTGTTGCTGTCCTTCGGCAATAGCTTCCGCGCAGTAGAAGAAGTCACAGCAGCAACACAAGAAGTGGTAAAAGAAGAAGAAGGTAAAGAGGATACAAAAGCCATGTTTGTATTTTGGGGACGAACAAGTTGTGACAACAAAAGCACAAGAGAAGCCATGAACAAAAAGCAGAGACTAGTTCTATCTGTTGAATGGTTTTGTTTGTAAGGAAATGAATTTGGACATGAAGGGTATGTGGGTTTGACACATATTTATATAGTGATAAAACCACAAAACCTACAAAGCCCCTTGGTTTTGGTCTGTCTTGACAGACATGTTTCTGTTTTACGAACGGAAAAAATATAAACTACGGATGGTTTCTGCTGATTCTGCTAATGGTTTTTGTTGTTGACTTCCCTTTATTTATGGCTTTGAATAAAGGGATGGTTTCAAGGTAACCACAGAAGTTTTTAGTAGGTCCAAAACCGTGGGCCTTCTGATTGTTGTTACTAGTAAATGTTGCTGTTTTGCAATTGAGTCATTGCTTGGGTTCACAGAATCAGGGACAAGTGGTCACATTAGGCAATTTGCTTGACCTTTATAGTTGCCATGCAAATTTTTGCTTCTTTTCTTTTAAAAAACAACACAAAAGAAAAATAGAACCCTAACTATATGTATTTATAATGGAATAATTGCAATATAAATACATCAATTTTAACTTTTTTTCAATTTTAAAATATATTAATTTTTTTTTAAACTACCAATTAAATATTTTTGTCAATTTTTTTCATTAACCAATAGCATGTTCTTCACCTTGAAATACCAAATTATATTTTTTATATTTTTTATATTTTTTCTCAATCAAAAATATGAACTTTAATTTTTTTATTTGAGTAAATCAATTTTTTAAAAAAATTGTCAATCAAGTATTTTTATTAATTTTTTCATTAACTAATAATGTGTTCAAAAACAAAAATTATAATTTTTCCCTTTTTTTTTTGAAGAGAACTTTCCTTCCAAATTCTTTTTATTAAATTTAAAAAACAATTAAAAAATTATTTTTTAGTTATAAAATCTCAAACTCAATTAGGTTGCTATTAAAAAGAAAGTCATTTAGGTAGAGTGAAAAATTTAAAGAAAACACAAATAAATCTTCTTGATAAAAAATCTTACATTTGTGTTTTCTTCAACTTTCACGTGTAAAACCTAACTCGGGGGTTTTTTTTTTAACGACAAACCTAACTAGGTTTAATTTGAGATTTTATAACTAAAAAATATATTTTTCAATTCTTTTTCAAATTTTAAAATGGTGGAATAATTTAGAGAGAAATTTCCTTATATATATAATTTGTTATTCAAATATGCCATCGATTAACGAAAAAATTAACAAAAGTACTTGATTGTCAATTTTGAAAAAATTAGTGTGCTCAAACAAAAAAAAAATTAAAATTCATGTACTCTATTGAGAAAAAGGCATAAAATTATACTTTTATTTTTAGAGAGTAACGAGATATGTTATCAATTAACAAAAAAAAATTATAAAAGTAATCAATTGACAATTTTAAAAATGTTTGTGTACTCAAAAAAAAAAAAAAAGTTAAAATCCATATATTCAATTAAAAAAAAATTAAGGGCTAGTGTACTCATAACACAATTACCCTTATATATATTGTGAGATTGTAGTGTAATTACTCCTTTTGTCAAAATGTTTGTCATTTTTTACTTTTCACATAGTTTATGGGAGACATTAATCGTTGTGACACACATGTTTTTTATCATTACTTTTCTAAAATTTCCTTCCATCCTATCAAAATTGAGTTTCAAAAGTTTCTAAAAAATAAGGAGATCCCTAAGCCTTTCGAAAATCAAGACGCCAAATTAAAATATTTGTTCTTTCTAAATTTAAGTTAAAAAACTTTTAAAACTTCTAAAGATTTTTAACGAATCCTAAATTTTTCATAAAATTTTAAGTCAAAAAATTAGTTTCAAAACAAGGCATCAAATCAAGATTTTATCCCTCCCATTTAAGTTGAAAATTTTTAAAAAGGTTAAAGATCATTAGGCCTTCCTAAATTTCTCATGAAATTTTATGTCAAAAAATTAGTTCCAAAATCAAGATGCCAAATCAATTTTTTTCCTCCCAAATTTAAGTTGAAAATTTTTTGGGAGAGATCTAAAGATCATTAAAGAACCCTAAATTTTCTATAAAATAAATAGTTTTCATGTAATAAAAACTTTTCTTTTGAGTTCCTTTATATTAAAAATATTTGTCTATGTAAAATAAAAGTTTAAATAATAATAATTTTTTAGTTAGTAAAAATAAGAAATGAAAGCAAGAATTGATTAGAGATATTTTAAGAAAGTATAGTATGTAAATTTTTGACTATATAATTATTTTGAGACGAGACATAAATAGAAAGAAGGACAATCTCTTTGAGACAAAACACGTATTAAATATAGAGTTGAATCCTAACCTTCTTGTAAAGGTGAAGAGTCTATGATGGCTAGGTTAAATGTCGAGTTAAAGGTTCGAATATCTATCTACTATTTTATTTGTCTTAATCGCATCTTTCTATTAATTTTTTTCAATAATCGTATCCCTCTTCTCTTAATTTACATCTTAAATTCGTCCTTTTGGCCAAATTTTTTAGTAATTGCATAAATTTTATGCGACAAAGGCACATGATGCCGACATGCGAATCTTTTTTTTCAAAATAAAAAATCCTGAAAAAATACTAAAAAATCTTAAAAAATAAAAAAAAATCCTAAAATGTCCCTATTTTCTCTACCTTTTTGTATAAAATAAATAATTAATATCATCCCTAAATTTTATTTTATTTTATTTTATTTTTATTTTTTTGCTTCTCTCAAATTCAAACCCTAAAAAGAAAATTTTTTATGTATTGGAAAGAACAAAAGGAAAAAAAAATTATTTATTTTAGAAATTTATTTCAAAAAAAAAAAACCATATGAATTTTTTTTCATAACATAAGAACAAAAGCAAAAAACGAGAGAAAAAGAGGGCATTTTGGGATTTTTTCAGAATTTGAGAGAAAGCAAAAGAAATAACAAGTGAAATTAATTATTTATTTCTATATATAAAGATAGAGATAAATAGAGACATTTTGAGATTTTTTTATTTTATTTTTCATATTTTTTGGGATTTTTTCTTTTTTTCAAAATTTGTTTTTGAAAAAAATGTTATATGTCAATATCATGTGTGTTTGTAGGTAAAAATTGATGCATTTATTGAAAAATTTAGCTTGAGAGATGAAATTAAGACGTAAATTAAGAATAAAAGAATATAATTATTGAAAAATTAATAAAAATATACAATTAAGACAAATAAAACGATTGAAGGATATTTTGAACTTTAAACCCTTAAATGCCCAATTTAAGCTTCTTAAGTTAGGTAAGCCTCAACTTGAGTTTATGAAATTGGGCCATGTATGGGATTGGATGTTTAACCAAATGGGTCTAGACCTTCACCGATGAACCTGCATTATATTGTTTGTCTCCAGCAGATTTTGCTGCTTTTAGTTTGGTGTACTGAATTAGTCTGTTTAATTTTTATTTTTTTTCAAAAAAAAAAAAAAAATTTTGTATGGCCACCAACATAATTGATTCAAATTCTTTTATTTAAAAAAAAATGTTCATGTTTTAAATCTTTTTTATTAATTTTTTTAATAGTAAATAATGAAACTGTTATCATTTTCAATATATGTTAATATCATACCCAGTTATCTTAAACTTGACCCTTGAAATTTTTAAAAAGTAACCAAACATGAATGAAATAAAGTAACGTCGTGAGAGAATCAGAATCCCAATTCAATTGCAATTTTTTTTAAAAAAAAAAATATTAGTACGGTTGACCTAGATTGGATTGTTTGTGTCATTTTTGAGGGTGTACCAAATTTTAGGCCTCCCATTAATGGGTGGTGGGATGGACTGAATTTTCTAGTTTTCCTTATATTAAAAAAAAAAAATTCCTGTGTTAGAAGTACTTTTTCTATGAATCAAAATGCGGTGTAAGCTATAACATTGTAACTGCTCGCTTATTGACTCAAACAAGCATTAATTCAATTCAACGCTCAATCAAAAAAGGTCACATAAAACATATATATATATATATATCTGCTTAGGGAACTGAACATGGAAGCAAGCAATTTGCCATCACCGTCTGCTTCCTACGTTGCAAAAGGTAAAGACAAGCGAGCTGAGAGAGACCTAGCAAGTGGTGGTTTGTTCATAATACCTGGCCTACTTCCCACATGCCTCATTGTGGAACTTGTTACCCTTTGTCCCTCTGTAAGCACACATTTTACCGGATGCGGCCCTACACTTACCGCCTTCTCGCACCGACAACTCATCAACAACCCTCCATTCCCTCCTCTCTTCTTCCCACCACCCCCGCCGCCGCCGCCACCACTACTATTCTTTTCATACTCCCGGCCGCGCATCATTGTCATTTCATCAACTTCTGATGCACTAACTGAGAAGTTTGTGACACTTCCTCTATCAAACCCTTCTGCTGTTGTCACACTCCAGTCTATGCTGGCTTCGCTGGGTTCATAACATTCTGTTGGTGCAATTGATGGTGTTCTAGGTTCGTCAAGGCTTTGTCTGCAGTACAGATTCCCTCCATTCGTTGCAGCTAATCGCCTTGCGTTGAAGCTTGAAGCATCGTCAAGGGAATCGCGACGATTAGGATACATTGCATATGATGTTGTTTGCGTTGAGAAACTCTCAATCTCAAACAAGTCTGAACTAGCATCACTTGCCATATCATCGTCTATAGCCGTGAAGCTTTGACGTCGATGAAGATCAGAAATTGACTTGGTTGGAATAGGATCATCAGCTGGCCGAAAAACTTCCAAAGAATCACGAGGTGGATCCTCAAGAGGAGGAGTAGTTGATGGCAACACCAGTTTTATAGGAGGTGGGGTTTGGCTCAGTATAGGAAAACTGAACCCAGCAGTAGTATCAGTACTAAACGGTCTTGCTGAGGCCACTACTCGTTGGTGGCTTAAGCCTGAAGGAAATCGGTTGTTGTCTGCCGAGATTCGATGAGTATTAGGAATCACTTCACGTCTTTCGAGCTTGCTGTCTGCTGAGATTCTATGAGTACTAGGGATTACTTCACGTCTTTCGAGCCAGTCCGGTGTAGCCAAACTTTTTTCAATAGGATTTTCTACAGTGGTAGGAATCTGAATCTGCTTTTTGAGATCCAAAGAGACTTTAGCGTGGCTCATGCGCGATGGGGTTCTTGGTTCTGATTTCTTTTCCTCAACTTGAACAGATTTCTTACCTGAACATGGGCATTTTCTCCCAAGAAGCCATTTTGTGCCACACCCTTTTTTCTTGTCATCATTTCGAGGTGGATTTCGCATCAAGACGGGGATAGCACCCGGTGGATTTGACAATAAACCAATCTGGCTATTCCAACTAGCTTCAGATGAAGCGGTGGGTGTTGCGTGGAAAGAACGAGCTCTATAATTCCTGCCATAACCATCCACTGAAGATGAAGCAGAAGAGAATCTTGGAACCGAAGAGAAATCATATCGCTCGGATATGCGTTCAAGATTAGCATTAACTGGAGAAACTCTCTTGCTCAACTTGGGGTCACCGCCACTTTCATTGAAGTACTTCTGTGCATCGAAAATACTTATCTCAGAATCATCAACTTGATTAACCTGCTCTGGCGTCGGACTGAGATAAGAAGAAAAAGATGCGTCTCTAACTGTTGATTTTTGTGGATAAGAAATGCAAGGATGAGCGGGTTCAATGATGTCAAAAATGGGATGTGGAGCTATGCTTCCAGCAGCAATAGTTTTCGTCACTTTCGATCTTTCCATACTAAAATTCACTCTCTCTCAAGCAAAATTCAAATCCAAATGAACACAAAAGTATGAGAAAGGAACGGAAATAATAATAATAATAGCATGGGCTGCCTCTGAAATTCCCTTAGTTCTACTATATGTAGAGAGGTACAACACATATTTTGTCCACAACATGAATCAATAATAAAGCAGTAAAATGTTCCTACCTAGTCTTATAATTTAGCAGTACAATCTCTCTCTCTTTCATCTGAGAGGGTGGGGGATGAATGAAGAAAAATGTAGTCACCGTACTCGCCGAGGAACATTGCGTCTGGTCCCACACATTACATCAACAACGTTCCCCTTACCCACCTATGTTCTGTCGAAGCTCGAGGGACTCCATGTGGCATGGGGATTAGTGATCGATTGAGCACAAACTATAATTTAAAATAATTTTATCCTAACAGTAAAATAATAATGTTTATAATCAATATTATAAATATGTTTTGATTTATATATTTTTAAATATTTTATATTAAATATAATAATAACATTTTGAATAATTTAATATCATATGATAATAATTTATTTTATTAAAAAAAGTTAATAACAACTTTAATAATTTAATATCACATAAAAATAATAATAAAATTATAACGTCAAGGCATATGATTTCACGTAAATAACGTTTAAAAATTATATTCGAAATTTAAATTTTTGAGAAAGAAAAAAACAAATAATAATGTTTATAATCAATATTATAAATATTGTTAATAAATTTGTTTTGATTTATATATTTTTACATATTTTGTGAATTAAATATAATAATAATATTTTGAATAATTTAATATCAAACAATAATAGATTATTTTATTAAAAAAAAAGAAGTTAATAACAATTTTAATAATTTAATATCACATAAAAATAATAATATACATTATAACATCAAGACATACAAGACATTCCATTTCATGTAAATAACATTTAAAAAAATATATACTAAATTTAAATTTTTGAAAAAGAAAAAAATAAATATAACACCAAATAATAATGTTACATACCAATAACCTTCTTATTTGTATGGAACTCTGGGCACCAATCCCGTTACCTGTATGGCAAGACTCGAACCCAAGCACTGAGCAAGAAGAACACTAACTGTCTTAACCGCTGACCAAAGCAGTTATTGCAAGTTTTCTATGACATAATAAATGTTGTTTCAGGACAAAGGCCAGCCTATCTAGTAACCAACGAGGCACAAAATGTACAAAAACAAAAAGCATATCATGTTCGATTAAAAGTTTTCCATACCCTACATATACGGCTACCAAAATCAATCAACATCTCTAGCGATTGGGTATGAACCACAAGGACAGTACATAATAATGTCAGCATAATGTTTTCCATCAACCCCTTCTTCCTAAAAGTCAATTAAACCTGACCCTCCCCACTTCACATTCACATTCCTCTACCGCTGGTGTCTATTGTCACTTGCGGAGGTTGCCTCCATTACCGGCAACATTAACTCCACCAGATCATATAGTATCAACATGATAAGAGAGACATAATTTACATACACACATACACAAATAAAGCAACAAAGAGGTGTGGTTTTAACCATAGTACTATAGGACAGAAGTGTTTTTGGAAGTTTATTCAACTAGGGATTGTCTCAAATCTTTGCCTGTTCATTTTATCACTTCTCCGTTGGGGAAAAAAAAAAAAAAAAAAGAAAGAAAGAAAAAAGAAAAAAGAAAAAGAAAAAAGAAGAAGAAGAAGAAGAAGAAGGATTATGTACTGGATTTGAAACTAGAAACTTCTCTTTTAAATATACAATGATGGGAGCTGAATTTAAAATACCTCTCTTAATGGTTCTATTTCGGTATAATTAACTTTATTTATTTTTTTAACAATTAGGCTTTGTTTGGTTACCATGAATAAAAAAACATGTAATAAAAATATAAAAATTAGAATGAAAATTAAGAAAGCGAACAACATTTTCATTTCAATAATGTGTTTGCAATATTAATAAAAAAAAATTAGAATGAAATTTAAAATTTTTAATAACTAGTTTTTAAAATAATAATAATAATAAAAGAATTGCTAGCATAATTATAGGAATTGTGAGTTGTGTTAGCATAATTATAAGAATTATGGGCTCTTAATGTAATTATCCCAAAATTATAGGAGTTGGCCCATGATTAAGGCTTGTATATTTTTTCTTTGCACGTAAATCGGCTTGGGTATATATATACACCCATATACGTTTAGTCACCTATGCAAAATACAAATATTTTTTCTCATTCTATGTCATTTACTATCTTGGTATCAAAGTCTATTTATTTTTTAAAATTTTGTATATAAGTTATATCATCATCCACATCCGTTTACGTCTGCTACCTACATTGTCCATCATATAGTCCGTCACGCCTTGAGACACCAATCACTTTCTATACATCATTTGAGTTTTACACCACTTTTTATTACTTGACTAATTTATATCTATCACTTGTCAACCTTTGTTTGCCTCTCGTCACTATATATATATATATATATATATATATATATATATATATATATATATATATATATATATATATATATATAATTCTTAAAGTTAGATACTAATCTATACAATGGAAAAGTTGAAGTTTTTAAACCTATTTCAACTTGTTTTGATTAGATCTAATTACAATCTTTGGGTTCGAAGATATGAAGAGTTTTCTCGTAGGACGCAAACTTTGGAAAATTGTCACTAAAGATATTGTCAAGACCATAAAAGAAAAAGATGAGCGCGATGCCAAATTTCAAGATCGTCTTGAAGATTGGGATAGGGAAAATCTTTAAATCATCACTTGGTTTTGCAACACTTTTGTTACTTTTGTTCACATTCGGTTTGTTGATTGTGATATTGCAAAAGAGATTTGGGAGTTTTTGGCTACTTGATACAAAACTACTAGCTTGTATATTTCTATCAATCATAGACCACCCTTCATAATCTTAAAAAGAATATGGTCAATCAATAAATGATTTTCTTGCTTAAGTGCAACTTAACTGGATTCAATTATCTCGAAGCTAAAATTAGTAAAGATCATCTTTATCTCATTCAAGTTCTAATGGCACTACGTATGGAATACGAAGGTGTTAGAGCCTCTTTATTACATCGAGTCCACTTTTATCATTTAATACTACCATTCAAGAAATCATCTTTGAAGAAACCTTCGTTAGGATTGACAAGACATTCCCATTGACGTTGCTCTTGCCACTACCTCATTTAAAACATCACAACTACAATAAAAAGCTAAGTTTTATAAAAATTATCATCAACCAAGTCAAAGTTTTTTTTTTTTTTTTGTCCTACTATTGAGTGTAATTATTTCTATGAAATTATGCATATTATTGAGAATTATCTCGTTCATCCAACAAGATTGAAGGGTGGGCCCTCTAAACCCCGAGGGTCATTTCTCTAGACTTGAATCTTTCTTTAATGTTAGTGGTGCCTCTAAAAGCTCTACTAGCATCATCATTAGTGATCTTGAAGCTCTACTCAAATAGGTTATTTCTACCAATTCTTCTTCCACTACCTTATATGTTACTTCAAGTAAATTCTCTTTAACTCTATGTCTTACAATCATATGACTTTAAATATATCTATTTTATTCATAAAAAAACACATGTCTCCTCCATTCCCCTTATTCTTACTTCAAATGGTACAAATATGACTATAACCCATATTGGCCAAGCATCCGCATCACATGTAAGTCTCCTTGATACTTATTTACTCTTAATTTACTCTTTATTAGTTAAAGATGTGATCTTGGCCTCGCTATTATTTTTTCTTCTTCCGGTTGTTAGCTACGGGATCTACGGATGGGTAGACTCTTGGGAAGGGTCACGAGGTGGGTCGATTATTTGAGCTTAATTGTCTTCATCTTCTTTTAAGAAATGTGTCGACAGCTAACACACTTATTTGTCCTTATATCGGTTGTATCTTCTTCTAAGTTATGCTTTTGCTACTAAACTTTGTTCTCTAATCTCTCATAGGTTATTAAGATTTATAAAATTTGAGTCCATTAATTGTTTAAATTCTCACCTAGCTAAATAACCGACTTTTTCTTTTAATAACAATACATTTACATCGATGTTCCTTTTCACATTGCTCACTCTAACATTTTGGACCTTCTCCCACCTTGTCTATGAATGGTTTGGTTATCGATATTTTATCGATGATTGTTCTCATTTTACTTAAATGTATTTTCTAAAACAATGATGTAAATTATCAAACCTCTATATAAATTTTCCACTATGGTTAAAACTCAATTCTCTCGTACCATTAAAATACTTCATATCGACAATGTTATAAAATATCGAGATTCTTCTCTACTCAAATTTCTTTGTCAAGAGGCTACTTTTGTTTAACGTTAACGTCTTTATACTTTTTAATAAAATGGTCAAGCTGAATGCAAACATAATTATATCCTTGATCTTATTTGTGCTTTTCTTCTTTCTAACTCTTTCAAACATTTATTCAATAAGTCTTCTAATAACATTCTTAAACCTTTTGGTTATGCTTCTTTTATTCTCTTACAACCTCATAAACATACCAATTTGGAACCTCATACTTGTCCTTATTGTTTATTGGGATATGAGATAGAACATAAAGGTTATTATTGTTGGGATCGTATTTCCAATAGATTACATATCCCTTGCCATGTCACCTTTTAGGAAAACACTAGTTTTCTTTCTTGTCAAAGTTCCATTCTTCCTTCACCATTCTTTCTCCATTTTTTATTAACATATCTATTGAGTTATTTCCTAATCTTGATACGAGCATCTTCGACGAGCTCATTCATTCACCTGCTCATCTTTTATTGACATATCTATTGAGTTATTTCCTAATTTTGATTGTATTTCCAATAGATAAAATGTAAAAAAATTTTAAGCAATCAAATAATACAACATGAGAATGGATGAGGCAAGTGAGCAAAAGAAATTGCAACGATAGAAATTGGAGGAAATGAGGCTTGATTTTTATGAGA